TCTAATGCAGTTGAGCACTTCTTACAATTAGCAGTTTGAAATTCAAAATTTATGTCAATCTTATTGTTTTGAAAATACTCTAGTGAATCTAAAATGCTATCTTTCTGTTTAGCATTATCATTTTTGTTAACAATGTGCACAATTTTATTCTCGTTTAATCCAGCTGCATTTTGATCAGCATTTACTTTTCCAGTGCGTTTTTTGTTTTGTTTAGACTGAGTTTGCTGTGTAGATTTGGTATCCTTTTTATCACAATTTTTTGCATGTTCTTTGATATGATTTTCAACGTTCACCTTATTAAACTCTAATGTAATTGAACATTTCTTACAATAAGCAGTTTTAGTTTCAAAATTTATATCAATGTTATTTTTTTGAAAACTCTCCAGTGAATCCAAAATGCTACCTTGCTGTTTTACATAATCATTTTCCTTATCAGCATGCTTAAATTTATCATTTATTACATTATCTGCATTTTCCTTAGTATTTAGCTTAGCAATACGTATTTTGTGTAGTCTAAGCAAAGTTTGATGATGTAGTTCATTAGCATGGGTAGCACTATTGCAAGGATCTACATCTGTACTGCATAACATACACCATAATCTTCCTTCCTCATCTTTTGTTACATAATTCTTTGCATTTAATAAATCACAAAATTCTTTGTCACTTTTCAGTGTAGTCCTGGCATTTTCTGTCTGTCTGTCATTATCAAGATCAACTTTCTTCATACTGACATTAGTTTCAATGGCAGCGCTAATTACTTGACATTTCTCTTTCTCTCTTTCTTTATTTTCAATCTTGCTAACGTTAACACTCATATTTTTATTCGTTTTATTATTATCTTCCATGATTACCTTTTGATCAAAACAACAAACTTTTTGGTACAGATTTTTGTGTTCCGGTAAATTGAAGTGCATATCGATAGAATTCAAAGTGGCAACAATGTTGCAAGTAAGGCATTGAAAGGAACTATCATCAGTCTGAAAATTTTTAAAACATTAATTTTTTTATCTTTTTCAAAAAACATTACAATCCAATTTCAGTGTTATGCATTAAGCATTATCAAAACATAAATACTTACTCTTCGATATATGTTTTTATTGGCATAAAATTCAACTTTGCTTTGAATCAACTTTATTATATGAATGGTTTCATTTTTGTGAATATTTTCATTATCAAATTCTGTGTTACAAATTACACATGTTTCATCAATTATACCATTCCATGCCCTATCATTTATTTGCACATTTGAAAAAGCCACAACAAACTGCCCATTACGATGCAACAACTGGTTATTCTTATTTTCTACATGTTTTTTCTCAGTTATGTGCAAACGAACTCTTGTCGCAGTGGCTAACAATAGATTGCATAGTTCACAGAAGTACCATTTTTTGATCTGAAAGAAAGAAGTGTAAAATATTATAAATACAATTCATTAATATGCAAAATTGTGTTTTTTTTTATAGTGCACCTTCTGAGATAACATATTTTTAAAAGAAAAAAATGTACATGATAAAATCATATAGTTGGTATATTCCAACTATATGATTGTTTCATGTACATTGTAGGGGGCAGATTATAGTAAATACTAAAATATACTCAAGATTAAAACTGTCAATCACTTGTCAATATTATACAGCGTGTCTTTACCATCGCAACAATAAATGAACACACATATAGAGGATAACTTTCTAAATTGTATTAAACATTTAAATTCTTTAAACATCAATATTTACAGAGTTATTAAATTTTCCATAAAAAAGAATTTTAGAACACCCTTACCTATAAAACTGTAACGTAAAGTTCATTTGTAAAGGTCACAATGCATATGAATGGGTTGAATGAATTTAAAAGAGACAAAACATACTGTTAGAAGGAGAGGCTTGTAATACGACGCTGTGGCGCGAGTTTTATAGGATGTTACAAATTTTGTTTCTTTTTTACTTAATTACTTTGTTTGAAAAATATTTTTTCAAAATTATGGAATTTTTTAACGTTAATATTTTTTTATGATTATTGGCACGTAGTGTTAGACGTGTGTTCATTAATTGTCGCGGTGGTAACGACACGCTGTATAGTAGGTAGGTATAAGACAAATACATTATTTACCTTTCGTACACAATCTTCTTTGTTTTCAAAATATTCTGTCAAATCAAAATTTTTTGTATGATCAGGCTTAGAAATGTGTTCTGTTGCATCGCCTTCGTTATAAAGACGACATTCACACACAAGACAGAAATAATCCACTCCGCTGGTAAACACTCCACTTGTTTTAAATTTAGAATTCATTTTTAATTCCTACAGAAAATAAAACAGTAAGACATTTAATTAAACTAAATTAATTAAAAAATTAACAAAAATAGTACTAAGATATATTTAACAATGAAAAATATGAAGCAATTTTGCTTTTATACAAAAAATTTTTTACTCTTACTATTACTACCATGAGTCAAAGAGATACAAATGAACTGTTGGTTTCAGGACTTCTTAAATACAATAACAAATTATTGTATTGTTATTTTAATACAATAAAAAGTTATTGCTAATGTATTTAAGAAGTCATTAACTATACATATAATAGCCTAGATATTAGATAGTTAATGCAGATGCAAACAGATGTTTTTATCATAATCAAATAATGAGTCATATGCTAAATATTGATGAAATCAAATTTCTTTATTGCCAATGACAGGAAATAATGACTAAATAAATACGAAATTGATTGTAAAATATGGAAATCAACTAAGAAATTAGTTTGTTTCGAAATTACTTTACTTTCACTACCTAAATCATTGTACTAAATATATTTAAATGATTTTATTTCTACTATTGTACCGATTTTATGAGGACGAATGTTTTTTTTCTGGATATTTAGTTGTAATCACTTAATACAATAGAAAAGTCGTTTTAGTTTGACAATCTAAAGTATAATTAGTTAATTATCCTATTAAAAAATTACGATATTAGTTATTTAAATACTTACGAAGACATAAATTATCTTTTATACTTTGTAATTTTATTAAACGTTTATTATAAATATATTTTAAAATAAATTAAGCAAAACTTGTTACTTTACATGATGTTTTCAAGAAATTCATGTCACGGGAGTATAAAATCTAAAATTAAAGTACAATAAAGATTTTTTTAAGCAAATACAGGAATCCTCTGACATGGAAATCATTGATATTGATTTCTTTTCGAATTCGAAAGTTGTATTAATTGTATGTATTAACTACTGTCATATGTCACAGTGTTACCAACTGTTCAAAAATAATATTCCTAAATTAATTCGAAAACCCACTAAAATTGAATAAATTGAAACAAAAACTTCCTAAATTTATCATCACGATTTTTTATATTATCAAGGCATATTCAATATTATAGTTTAGGGAGGAATAATTCAAAATATACATACAAGACACATAGGCCTTTGCCTGACGTCCACCAAAGCACAGCAGCATTAAATTATATTTTTTGTTAAAAATAAGTAGTTTTGTGTAGTTTTTCCTTCAAAAATGTAAATTAATTTAACTCCTAAAACTATTCCTAAAAGAATTTACCACCTAAAAAACTTCCAATGTTAATTTTTCTTCTTTAATTTAAGAATAAAATTCCTAAGTAGGCATCCCTGTGTTGTTATTTTCACTTTGTCAGTGCTGCTATTAATTAGTAATGCATAGCTGCTAATCAGTCATCGGATTAAATTAAATTCGAATGTCAAAATTTTAAAAGCCTAATAATTTTATCACGTTACATGCTCGACTAAATGTTCTGAGAATGTTGTTGCAATATGGTTAATTAATTTATTTCTTATTAATTAGTTGAAGTCAAAATAATTTACTCAATGTGATCGTTCAAGCAGAAGTTTGAACCTCTATCTGACTTAACGTTGCTCCGCTCCATATCCACGTACAGAAGGAGGATAAAATTACTAAGCTTCGTTTGCTGGAGACGAGTAGGAGAGGATGGCACTATAATGTCATGAGAAGGGTAGCAAATGACCTAATCAAAAACCCCGTCATGGTGAAGCCCTGTGATGTTATGACCACGAAACTGAACCTCGTGAAACTATCAGGTGTTATGGTCTCTGTCTAGGCTTTAAGAATCCACGGTTGCCAACTTAGGGGTTTCCCCCTAAAGTTTAGGGGGTGATCTAGTGCGTTGGAATTTTTTAGGAGCGTCTTTTTTCGGGAATATATTTGGGGATTGTTTCACTTTGTTTGTATTTTCTTATTTTTTAATTTCTTATTTTTTTTAATAAAGAAAAATAAAGATCCTGGACGTAACGCAATCTAGGCATCATAATTATTTGCTTTTACTTTGACCTATCAACTTGGCGACATCTAGTACGGTTTTTCATTACTAAGAATGTGGTGTTGAACGGAGCCAAAAGTTATAAGAATAGGATAGAGAATAATCAAAGGTCGACAAATTTCCACTTTGCATTGGCTTACTTTTCAAACAAAATAAATGGTTGGATCACACTCATGTGATAGTTATTGATACGTTTTGTAAACCATGTCAAAACACCTAATAATGCATAAAATCATAAAAAGAATCATCAAGTTTTAAAGATTTTTTTTTTTTCAAAAAGTCAGATATATGGAAAATTTTAGAGAATTATTAGTAAAATAGGTAATTAGCTAAACTTGTGAAAAATTTATTTGTTGAAAAAATTTATATTATAAGACTTATGGAATTTTCTAACTAAAATCTAAGTAAATGTAAAATTAATTCGTTTGATATCTGTTTATCACGCCTGTTAACCTGATAAACAAATATCTAACGAATAATATAGATATTATTAAATTAATAAATAAACTAATACAATCTAAAATAGAACATTTAAATTATTTTAGAAGCCTCTTATTTTAAATAAAAATATTACTTTTTCAACTTTTATTTGTATTTGCCATAAATGTATACATAATACGCGATATAAGTAAAATCCTATATAAGAATATTGAACCACATTCAGTGAACTCATATTTATGGAAATAAGAATGACATCGATCGTGTAAGTGGCACCAATTATGTAATAAAAAATGGGCAAATACTTCTGCTGCTGATTTGTATTTTGAAGTTTATAGTGATTGAAATGCAGCTGGCCGTAAACGTTTCGAAAACATTTTGAAATTCGGACTGGCATTAGTCACGGTTTCAATTTCAAACACAAGTGTGAAATGTGGAACGCGCATTTTCAATTTATAATATTGTCAAAATTATATTGCGAAATAGATCAAAGAGAATGTAATCACTACGTTTAAGAGACGGTACTTCCATACTAGCCAAAAATATCAGTTTACGCGGCACTCCAATACCAACCATACCACAAAGATGTCCAACAACAGGAGTACCAACGTAACGAGACAAATAGTGCTTAACCAAGCTAGCTTAGCTTCTTATCGATATCGATAAAACGTACTATGTAGAGAACGAGGTTTCCACTTAATATTTTTTTTTAATTAATTTTAGGTAAGTATCGAGTCCGTATTTATGTCCAATGTTGATGAGGGGATATTTGGTACTAATACAAGATTGGACTCAAATGCGGACCCGAAATAAAATAAAAAACGGTTTCTGATAATTCAAATAAAATTTTATCACTGAAATGAAATTTATTTCTTGTCTCTTGATTCTTCAGCCAACAGCTGTTGTCCTGCTGTACACGAGTCTGGAAATAATTGAAACATAAAAATAGAATCAAAATCCAAAAATTATTTTAGTTTTCTTGCATATTCAGCGCACGCAATTAATTATATGACGTATCAATAATACAGAGATTATGTTTCAAAATCCTGCAAAATTTACCTATTCCGATCCTTGCTCATTTATGTAGGCACACCATTTAAATATGTAAAACTTTGTGCCCCTACTCTTTCACCCAACATTTTATTTCTTTTTTTTTTTTCAATGATAAACATTAACGTAGTTATCGATATGTGGATATTACAGTTGCAGTACATCACTAGCACACAATTTAAATGAGATATAAATTTGTTAATTTTATTTGTTCTTAGCCTTCTCTACTTACATATGGCAAAGTATCATATTTAAGTGCTTACATGGGCTTCATCTAAGGGAAATCTCGCCATAAACATCCTTTTTTCAAGGTTCGAATGACTTGCTCGATTTTCACCAATTTCACAGGCATTTGAACCGTCTTTTTGGCATTTTGAATTAAAAGTACAACTCTGATCACCTGTCACTAGTTTTCGTGAGAAAGTTTACTCTAAACAATTTAAATTTACAATGAAATAGGCATTTACATTCAAAATACGCGGTGCAAAATTAAGTTTTGACAAACAACATGGCACTTCTTGTATTGCAAGAAAGAGAAACCGCATTGAGGGAGAGTGATAGCAATGTCCGCCATTATTTGCCGCTTAAAGTCCATAGAAACATTTTTTGTTCCTAGTTTCGCCAGACTGAAATAGATTATCAATTGACATGTGACAAAAGATATTGATGGTTCGATTTACACTGCAACGAAATCGTGGATCTTGTATAATTTTTAATCCATCCGCCAAAACGTTAACTTTATTCAATATTATCATGTATGATTTCAAAAAATCAAATCTGAAGAAAATGAACTAATATTTGATATATTTAATAATGTATGAATAATAAAAAATATTAAAAATGTAATTTATTATTTCATCATCATCATCATTTCAGCCTGTTTGAGTCCACTGCTGAACATAGGCCTCCCCCACAGACTGCCACGAAGTACGATCCTGAGCCACCTGCATCCATCGACTTCCCGCACATTTGCACAGGTCGTCACTCCATCTAGTGGGGGGTCGTCCTACACTGCCTGTCCTATTTATTATTTACAATTAATAATTATGTTAATTGTACATGTACATAAAAATAAGACATTTTTTTAATAATTTCCTACAACTATTGTTTAACCACTTTTATATATAATAATATTTTTGCTACAATATTCTTCACTGTAATTTATACCATTCATTTGAAAATCAAGGCAAATATCTTGGTGCTGTTTATTATTTATAATTTTTTTAATATTATTTTATTAGGGGTTTTTGTTTTAGGGGCAAAATTTTCGAGAGTTGGTAACACTGCACGAATCACGCTTCAGCTTCACTTCATCTTTCCTTTCATTTTCAATATAAATTTTTGCAAGTGTGCTAAGCAATTATTTATAGTAGTAAATTCTTACAGGCATAAAAACACAGTTTAGCGTAATTCAAGTACCTATTTGAAACATATAAACACAATGTGAGTAAACTGTTTTTATTGCAAATGTAAAAAATAATGTCAAAATGTTAAATGAACTGAATTATTGGTTTTAGGGCTACTTCGTCCAAGCCACGCTCGGAAATGACTCTTGAAGAGTTATCTAAAATAGAGGAGGAGGAATTTAGCACTGGCCCGCTGTCTGTTCTTACCCAGTCGGTCAAGAATAATACACAAGTATTAATAAATTGTCGAAACAACAAAAAACTTTTGGGACGCGTGAAGGCTTTCGACCGGCATTGTAACATGGTGTTAGAAAATGTAAAAGAAATGTGGACTGAGGTGCCTCGGACTGGTAAAGGAAAAAAGGTATTATTTTAATTATTATAATAGTTTCTTTTATGATTATAGTAATCATTTTTAAAAAATAACCTATTTGTTTTGATTGGCTTGACATAAATTATATGCAGATGTGAGAATTTCTTTTGTACGTCAATTATCTTTAAAGAGTCTTCTACAATTTAAAGAGTGAAACACAAAATTTGATTGGAATTATTTCCCAAACAATATTTTCCTAGTGCCAACCTTTTATTAATGTATTGCTAATTATGTTTCTTAAATGATAAATGGGATATTACTATTGGGGATTGGGATATAATGGGATATTATTCAATAAACTTTATATTTTCTTTTGTATGTCATTTTAACATTTAAATTATTGACAGCTAATTTATGATAACAGCGAAACAATTTCTTTCCTGTTCAATCTACTAGATAAACTTCCACATTGAAGTGACTTAAATTCACAGATAAAACATGTTAATCAATTCTATACTACATCCTGCTTTATGATGAAGGAAAAGAAGAAAAATAATCAGTAAAAAAAAGTAAAATACAAATCCCACTGCTCGACAAAGGCCTTCACTGTACAGAGGGTATAGTCAACCACAAAACCACACTGCGGATTGACAGACTTCACATATCTTGGCAATATTCTTTTTTATTATTGATTGGAAAGTATGCAGGTTTCCTCTCAATGTTTTCACCAAGGAGCATGTGATGGTTGGCAAAAAATTTTATAGAAAAACAAAGAAACAGTTATTTATCTGTAGTGATCATTATTGTTACCGTAGGAAGATTCTAATTGTAGTAAAAATATTTTTTACTGCTATCAGAATGTGAACAAGATTTTGCATCTTAGCAACACCTTTTTTGTTAGTAAAAAAAATGAATGGCGAAGAAAAAATGGTGAAATGTTATCTGATTTAAATAAAAAAAAAAAGCGTCTAGAAGACCTTTAAACCAAGAATATTAAAAAAATATCTACACATTTTCAAGTTATCATTTAAAGTTCGAAATAAAAAATAATTATTTAGAATACTAACTTGATTGAAATGATTGATATTTATTACTTTAGTGTTACCATTTAAAACTTTTAATCCTTATGTTATTGTTAAATCACTTTCTTAAAACATAACTTTAAAGCCTAAGGGTTTTCCTGAATAGAAAGCTATAGCTTTAAATTTTTTGTTATGGCAGCACTGAAACTATGCTACACACAGGCATTTGATACATTGACAGATATTTAGGGATTTGGAATGTGAATTAATGTCCATATATTGATATTTATAAAAATATCAGTATCGACCTTGTATCAATATGTATTGAAAAGAAAAAATTGAAACATGATATTTTTTCTTTTAGCCCCCTTTGTCTGAAAAAAAAGGTATATACTGTATGCGGAATTGCAAAAAAATATAGTTTTGGATACAATTTCAATATTAAATATTTTTTTGATATTGATATTGGATCCAAATTTATCGACTAAAACTATCGAACAATAAAATCGAAATTAGCGATATATTGATATTTTTTCGAATATTGATTTATTGAGCTTTATAATACAATCTCTCTTAGATTAGATCTAAACATTAATATGTATTGTGTATAACATTCCTTCAGTATTACACATAATACATATTCAATATTTTCCTTTACTAGGTCCATGGAATACTTAAGTTTCGTAAAAAATAGGTACAAATAGAAGTGACAGTAATAACCTATAAAACTTCTAAAATGATTATCTCTCTATTCTAAAAATTATTCTCTCTCTGCCTCCTTTAAACAAAATTATTGCAGAAACAAATTCGTAATCTATTGCTGAATTAATAAATTTTTTACTCAGATGTAGCAATTTAAATTGATATAAATTTCTGTATGGAAATTCGCAATTGTCATTTGGATATGGGAAAAATTCATAGATTTGCATTACCAATGTGCTAATGTCAAATTTTTTGTCATTGGTGTGATGTTAAAGTTTCATTTGGAAAACCGATTTCTAATGTTGATGTCACATATTTTGAAATTAAAATTCTATAAAATATGATTAATTTTTTTTAAAATTAATTATTATATTACACGTTAGTGTATAGAGATTATTGCGTTTTTATTGAGGTTTTGTTTAGCTTTTTTTAAATGTTATTTCTATATTTCTTTTATAGCAAGTTCTTTGTTATTAATTTAATTTCTAATACAGTTCTCCAATTTTCTTTTGTTACAGGGTAAAGCAGTAAACAAAGACAAATTCATTTCCAAAATGTTCCTTCGTGGTGATTCTGTAATCTTAGTGTTAAGAAACCCTCTGGCTACAGCTGCTGGAAAATAGTTTCCAAGGAAAACATTTGAATGTTTATTTAAAAAAAAAAGAACATTGCATTTTTCATGAAAAGTTGTTTACACAAAAACCATTGTTATATAAGGTAAATAAATAGGATATAAGTTTGTCTCTATTTCATATAATAAACTGTAAAACTCAAATGACATTTGTATCATTTAAACATGAGCATTAACTTTTTCTACTATGTGTTGCAATACCGCTAAGGACAATTTGCTTGATCAATTTGCGACTCCGAGCTCTCCAATCACATTCGACATAATAAGATAAGATACCTATTATATAGGTCACTTGTACTAGTTTTTGTTCTTTGTTATTTCTCTTTCCATCTTAAATCTATGTCCAATCGTGTTAATTGCTGAACCTTAATTAAAAACACAGATCACGGGATTCAAACCCAAAAAAATATAATGCTAGGAAGTTTTTCGACTTCGAGGATTAACTCAATTTTAAAGTCATCGCTCCCGATACCTTAACCAGATACCAAGCTGAGCAATACAAAACACGCAGACATTGTTTTATCTGCGTTTTGGCCCAAAAAGCAAATATGCTTCTTCAGATAGAAACCGTAGTCGAGGCCTTGGACACCCCGGCTATAGAGTACTTACTGGATGCGTTAGTTACGCTCAATGATGCAAGTCGAACGTTAGCAAGTTTCCGATCTCGCATTTCTACGGTCGTCGAAGAATCAGAACGAACGTTTAATGCATCGGCCGAATGGCGCTTTAAACTTCCGCTTGAACACCGACGGTTGATTAGGGGAAAAGTAACTAATAAAGACTTTAAACATTTTATGGATCGATCAGGCGCCCAATATCAATCAAAACCGAACCGGACCCAACTCAGTTGCTCGTATATCTGACACTGATAGATCGTTTCGAAGCTTTACTGATTAGCCATTGCACAATAGCCATTAGAAATAGGCTTGGAACTTGTAGATAGGGCTCTGCGAACCCATCCCATTCGACGGGGCTCCCGCCGTGTCGTGGCAGAGTGGTTTAGTAAACCTTCCCCCTTGGTAGCGAGTCCTGGGGTGGCAGACGTGGGCACCATGTGGCTAGACCGGGTATATCTAACCACGGTTCGCGGAAGATTGCGTTATCGCGTTCCCGTGTCCCCGGCAAAAACGACAATGCAGGTGCAACTTGGGTGTTTTAGTGGGTACCCCCGTGTTCCTCGGGACTCCCACATACCCTCGCTTTCTACCCACAAGGCGGCGAGGGATCCATAAAGGATTTTTAAAAAAAAAGAGTGTGAGTTCAGAGTTCATGCCAGCAGCGGCCGCACTTCATGGCGGACTTACTTTTTAATGTGAAAGGTTGTAAAGGGAGCAAGCAGATGGTTCGCCCGATGTCAAGTGACAACCGCCGCCCATGGACATTTACAACACCCGAAGGGTTACGTTGCCACCGTTGCCACTTTTTAATAAAGTGGGCACCGGTTACCTCACTCACCTGACGAAACGCAGAAGTATAACACTTCCACTTCACGCCCGTTTTTTGTGAGCCTGAGCTATATCGTGGTACTTTCTCGGACGGACCTGCCCATTTTTGTGCTACTTTTTGCTTGTTAGGGAAAATAATAACAGCGACGTGAAATTAGCACCATAAAGCTATAACATAGGACTCTCTTTTTCAATTATGTCAATTTATGAAGTGTTGTGACCAGTCATTACCCCCACCACCGCTGTGGCGTGATCGGGGTCATATCGCGATGCGACCCAACATACTGTACTGATGTGCTTCTAACCCTATAATTTATATTAAATTGTAAATTGTAGACAAGGAAAATCATGGTAAATAATTAAAACGAAAAAAATTTTTAAACTTTTTATTAATTTCATTATTGGATGTTTCGTTATAAGATCTAGCTTGCCTTATAAGGGTTCCTGAGAGTAAATGAACGTGCAAAAGTAAAGAAAATATCGTAGACGTGCCACAGTCTTGCCATAAACATAAATCTAGTTCAAAAGATGCCACAAGTTCTTAAGTCTAATAAAGTCCATCATAGAAACTCACGAACCACGCTAAATACAATTTCTTTGGTTGTATTTACAATTACTATTATTATGTACTTTTCGTTAGTAGACGTCAATATTTATCACAATTCATTAAATACAATAAGCGCTCAAGTGGGGATACGATTTTAAGGTTATAGAGGTGACAATAGATACCGCTATAATTAATGTACCTATTTAAAGCACTTTTGTAAAAACGTAAATATGAATCGTATGCATTCAATAACTTTCTCTTATATCTATTACTATCAAGGCATAATCGAAACACATGCAATTATACAATTACGAATCAGGAATGAAAGAAACCAAATTTTAAACCAATGTCATTAGCATAACTTGTCTTATTTACTGCTGAAGAAAATTCTTCATTATTAATGTGGATACGTTATATAGTATTGTTTTATATAATTATTTATTGAATGATATACTGCCGAGTTTACCAGGCAACTAGCCAGTAAAATGTATTACTTTTCCAACAACCTTCTGAATGTTTAAATTAATTTTTCTCTTTCTATATCGATGATGACACAAACTCTAATAATATATTGTTATCCTTGATAAAATCAGCACCATTACATTTGTACAAAGCCGGCAGTGCATTGTTGACACGGACAAACTTCACCTTGCTATATATAACTTATTGCCATATGTAATATTTCTTTCACAAAAACTCAACACACATTGTAACGTATATATAAAATAGCATAAATCCATTATTATTATGTCGGAAATCTCATCAATCCATTGCTGTTGTAGCACCAGACTTGCGTTATATTATATTCTGTTTAAGGCGGTAGCGTGCACAAGTACCATTTGTCTTAACGCAATGATTCGAAATATTCGCATGTTCGCGGTTATTTTTTTGATGTAGTGAGACACAAAACCTTTGATGGCTCATTTATAATATACTATTCTCAACTTCTGTAACTATAAAGGAAATATCTGATACATATTTATAAATATATAACGATACCCCGAACCGATACAAAATATTATTTAACCAGATATCAGCTGTAAATGCTATCTCCATATTAAATATACTTCGTCAAGCGTACTTTTTTTAATATAGTTTATATAAAAATACAAATAAACAATTTACGTTTCTATCCACTACAATTATTGATAATATTTAATATGTACAAAATTCCTTAATAATTAACCTATATAGTAACATTCGCTCTTTAGTCTCCGTATTCAGGTTACAAACTACCTACAAGGACAAAACTTACAGAAATCCGTTACAGACTTTAAGTTTATACATCAATGTAAATTACAATAATTCATGACAATCTCACACCACGTCAAAATATGAACACTGTTCATTTATGAGAAACAGTCGATTTTTATATTTTCAAATATACACTAAGACAAATTGAGGGCTATTCAAGATGTGAAATGTCCTTCTCATGTTATTTTAGTCATTACCTGACTGAGAAAAATCGGAGAGGCAAAATTAAAATTTAAAAAAATTATAGCAGAAACGTTCTTCATAAAACGCAAAATAATAATTAGACTAGAAATTTCTGTCAATAGCTGCGAAACGATTTCTGGCAATACTGTCAATATTAAGCTACCTAATACTTAAAAACTAAAGTCGATAAAGTTAAAATCTTATTTCTACTTTATATCTGCTTCAAATGTATTTTGATAGTGGCTAATGTATTTTAATGTTTAAAAACTATTTTAGTTACTTATTGTTATCTTTAAAAGTTTTTTTATCGATTTTTCAGATTATGCACGATATTAACAAGTTATGTGTCAATTTATTCAAAATATTAAATTTTCTTTCGTTTTATTGAGATCCACGTATGTTTAAATCACTAGGTAGGTTTATACTTACTGTTAATTTCTTCTGGAAGATTCTTATTCATTCCTAGTATTCTCTCTCTCCTCGTGTATACGCGCATGAGGTTAAGTGTTATAATTGCAACTGCACTGATGTACTTACAAGGGCGTAGTTTTGTATGATAAACTTTAATAATAATTGAATGTATCGTTGTCGAAAATAGCGTTTGATAGACGGAATTGGTATAATCGATAGTGAAATAACCTATCTATTGTAACCGTGAATTAATTTACACCTAAACACGAGCCTATGATTGAATATAAATAACTTTGAGTCTTTCAGCTTTTTAAAAATCTTTTCCCATCATAATTTACTATTAACTATTTTTTCGGAACGCTAATCTCTTTACCTATAGATTTTCTATTCTCGAATTTCTGTTGCAAGCTCGCGACGTTCGACGGCTTCGACGACAGCTTTGTCGCGCTAGCTTTGACGCCGGACTCCGTCCTTTGGACGCCAACCGCACTAGGTTTGGGAACCACTTTCGGTTTGTTCTTGTTCAAATTGTCCGCTATTGCTTTCACGTTGGAGTCGACCTTTGAATTCGTGCGGTTTACGGCTGGAGCTTTCTCGTTCTGCTGTTTGCCGTTTACGTTTTGAGCGTTCGACGCCTTCGCCGAGGTGAGGGATTTACTGCTCGGCCTCTTGTCCAGGGCCGGCGCCGGCCGGAGCGGGGGTCTGTCGCCGGTCTTTGCGGGCACGGCCGGCTTAGTCGCTACTTTAGGCGGTTCGAAGGGCGGTTTGTTGTTGTTGACCACATCGGGCGCTTTGACGTTCTTCGTGTCCGCCACCGCGCAGCTGGAGACCAGGTCCGGACTGTTCAGAATGGTTTTGGGGGTCGGATTAGCAGTTTTCGTCGGGTTCTTCGGCTGTTGCGGCACGTTTTTGAAGGTGCTCGTGTTGCGCAGCGTCGGCGGAGTGACCTGCCTCGCGAACGTCGGTATTTTCGAGTTGGCTTTCGGCGACGGGGGCGACGTCTCCGTCTCGCTCGTTTCGTTGTTGTTCTCCCGCTCCCTTATGTAAGTGGGCACATTCACGGCCGACGGGTGCAGGTAGCCGCTGCTCGTAGTGGAGGCGTTCGACTTTGCGCCGGAGTTGCTGTACACGCTCTCCGCCGCTCTGTAGTGGTCCGTGTTCATGTATGTGCTGTCTCTGTTCGTGCTATCGGCGCTCTTCTCTTTCCTCTCTTTCTCCTTTTTCCTTGAGAGCGTCGAGGCGGAGTAGATGGAGTCGAAGTTGCGGTTCTGTATCTCGTTCACGATCTCCCCGAGCAGGCCCATGCTGTCCGTGCTCCCCGAGTTGGAGGCGACCGTCTTGGGGGCGTTGTAGCCGACGGGCGGCGGCTGCGGTATGGTTTTGATCGGTGGCGGCACCCCGGGCGGCGGCTTTGAGTAGCTTTCGGGACTCTCCTCTATGATCGCGTAGATGTTGTCGCCGGACTCCTCGTCGATGTGCGCTAGCGGGGCGGACTTGTCCTCTATGCAGTCTACGTAGTCCGCCGACTTCAGTTCGACGGGGGGCTTCGGGTTCTGGTAGTGGGACGCTTCGTTTTCTGGTTTAGCGTTGGCGGGGTTCGGTAGGGGGGGCGGGGGGGCCGTCGGGCGGCCGACTACGGAAAGAGGCCTGGCGGCCGTTTGCCTCATCGACCCGAAGCTTTGCAGTGTCGGCTTCTGAGCGGCCGGCGCCCTCATGCTCTGGGCTCTGTTAACGAATGCCTTGGCGTCGTCTACTTCCTCCGAGTCGGAGACCACCGGTATAGTGCTAACCGGCAGCTCGATCTGTTTCTGCACTATCGGGTTGGAGATCTGCAGATTTCTCAAGGCGACTTTGTCGGCGCCCTTCGGCACTTTGATCTGGTGGTTCGGGTTTTTGGGCAACGAGTGGCTCCTCTCGACCGGTTGGCGCTCCTTCTCTTTGGGCTTCTCCTGTTTGAGAAATGAGGCGATCCTGTTCAGCGAGATGCCCTCTTTGACCTTCTTCGGCTCTTCGGGCAGCGGTTTCTGCGGGACGGCCCCCGAATGCATGCTGACTGGGCGTTGCTTTAGGTCTGGCGACAGCCCAGGCACCATCGGGGCGGCTCGAATAGGTCCCAAGGTTTTGGAACCTTGTAGAGGAGAGATCAGCTCCTTAGCGGTGCACGTTGAGGCTTCGAGAATGGGGCTGGATATGACCGGCCGCGGGGCGGCGCTCGCAGCGGCCGGTTGCAGCTCCTCGGTCTTCTCCGAGTTCATCAACGCCTTGATCCTATTCTGGACCGAGCTGTTGGTCCTCTTGACGGACGGACTGGTCTTCGGGCTGGTCTTCGCCGCGGCCGGCACGACCGGCAGCGGCGGCGCAGACCTCAGCACCGGCTTGAGGATGCTTTGGCTTATGAGGCTCTGGCTGTTGCTGCTGCTTCTATGGACGGGCGTGATTTTGGCGCTCTTTGGGCCGACGGCGTCGTTGGGGCCCTTCGCTTTGATGTTGCTCTCCGGCGGCGGATTGGGGTCGTTCCTCTCGCTCTGCTGCTCCCCCTTCTCCATCGGTGTGAGCGAGAAGCCCTTGAAGTTCCCGAAGAAGTTGACGGTCGGGTTGAGGTTGCCTGTTGGGCTACGATCCGAATCGCTGCGCAGTAGGCTCGAGCTCATATCGTCCGGATTCGACAGGGTGTGGACACTGACCGGCTGCGCGTTACCTTGGTTGCCTCCGTTCTGGAAGTTGGCCGCGAACTTGCTTGCGCTGCGCGACAGACGCCGCTGAAAGCTGTTCTTCTTCGGCGATTGCACGCTGCGGAGTACGAGGGTTTGGTTAATGTTGTGTTATGTGATAACGGTTCGCATGCTTATTTTGGAGTGCATCGCCTTTAGCTTTCGATTATATCGTTCAGCGGGAGGAAAAATGCAAATGTAACCCGGATTTCGAAGAATTTATAAGTTATAATTGACCAAAAGAATGCACATTTCAACAAGGAATCGAGAATATAGTTAAAATTGAACCTTAAAGGGATTTTCTTGGTGCGTATATACATAGTCTCAGAAAAATGATATACGCAGCATTAACAAGCCTGTTAAAGATACTCTCATTGTTAGTACAAATGCATAAAACATACCGTGCAAGATGTATATTTGAATAATTACTGAGAGCATGCTAATGATAAGAAACATGAAAAACGAAGCGAATCCACTATGAAATATGAGTGTGATTGGGGGTATGCCATTAGGAACGAAGATCCTCAACTCCGAATGGTCGCACAGCCTTTAATTAAATTAAAACAAATAGAACTCTGAAGAAATTTAAAGTAAATTTACCCTCAGTTGTCCATTGAAATTGAATGTAGTGTTTGGTTGTAGAATGATAGAAATAGGTTTTATGAAAAAAATTGTTAAATGGAAACCAACAATGACGTAGGAAATGAATTTTATGGTTCTTACATAAGGTCGATTTTCACAAAGGCTCGAGCCTGCAACGTTAAGGATCTTCTGTTCAAAAAATATGCAATTATTTTTTTCCGTTAAATGCTGCATTACTTTAAATCATTGTATACATATCATGCACTGTCAACCACATTAACATAATACCTTATCGCAATATGTATTCAAAACAATTGACGATCTCTGACGACATTTCGATAATCGAAAAAGATCGCTTAGATTATCGTTAGTAAGATGACACATGCAAGCCCAAAAACCAATTAAATGCAACTCACCCAAAACCAAAACAGAAAAAAGCTCCTTCTAAAAGTCAAAAAACACCACCGGTTCTTTCCTATTAGGGCGAACTTGGTAGTTTTGTATGTTAGAATAAAAAAAGTGTTAGGCTCATTTCCCTTTATTAACAACAACAAATCATACATTAGCCAAGTACTATTAGTTACTAACTACAAGCGAGCAACAGAAGGAAAAGTCTCAATTGATTTATTTTCCAAAAGGCTGTTTTTAGAACAGTTAAAGCTTTGTAGTTAGTGTAGTTTGTTAGTTGTAAAATTATATTACTCGGCGAGAAATATTGCACATGGACCTTAGGGTCTAATTTCTGCTAACTTCGGATTCGAGCGTTAGCTCAATCACACAACTATATATCGGACTGTTATTGCGTCGTGTGAGAGAGATGCACGAAGCCGAAACTAGCCGATTGTCTCTTTCCAAAAGTCAATGTGCAATCTCAATCAATTTATCGCCGAATACTGTATAACATATCTATATTAGTTTTTTTTTTATGGCAAAAGAAGAAGGTGGCAACCGAGCTGGCTGATGTTACATGATAACTGCCGCCCATTGACATTTGCAACACTCGAATGGTTGCAGATGCGTTTCCACTGTATAACAAAGTGGGCCCCAGTTGCCCCACTCACCAGATGAAAGGCAGAAGTGACGCTTCTTGTGTAAGTCAATAGATATTTTGTGTTGAATTATTTTGAAGCATGGATTTTCTTTTCATCTAAAGAAAGGGCAGTATCGTCCGAGGATGTACCACAGAAAATCGGCTTCAAATGAAGGGTGAAGAAGCCCATTCTTTTAAAGGTTGGCAGTGTGGTGGCCAGTTACCAACATCAACATTTTTACGTAAGAAAAACTAATCCGAATTTTAAACACAAAAAAAATGTTTTTAAATTGCAGTATAGGAAATCAATTGAGACAAGTTCCCAGGAAAAGGTGTCTACAGCAAAAGAAGATAAGTTTAACATAAGTACAATTGAGATACTGAAGAAGAGAGCAAAATGTGGAATAAATTCGTGCAAAATATTTATTTTCTATTTATCTACACATAAATATTTATTTACTAAAAATGGTTACTAAAATCTATAAAAGTAATGCTATAAACAAATTTCGCAATGTCAAAATAATGTTTAAACAAAACAGCTTTAGCTTTAGGTAAAACTAATGTTGTAGTCTTTTCATAGAGGTGTCTTAATGCGTCCCTGAAGTAGCAAAAACAACAGAAAGAATAGGGAGGTAAACTAAAAGAACACAGTTTTAACACCAAAGCAATGTTATCTAAACACAATTATAAATGAGTCTAATTCTAATATCGCATTCATCATAGACAAGCGAAGTTGCAACAACGTGGCATAAACAACAAAATGACCAACATAAGTATGGACCAATATTAGAAGTTTAATTTGTGTAGTGTTATGTAACTATTCATGAGCTGTGAATGTATCCATAATATTGAATATAGAAAAAAGAACACAAACATACGTTATACAAAGGACGTTTATACAAAGGACGTGAAGGAAAATTTTACTGCACTCAAGCGAAATTACTCCACGAATTCAGCGAGCCATCGATATAGAGAGGCCCGATTCGATGTAGTATACCACATCGATTCGGAGTATCGATAAAGCACTATGTTTCGCATTATATGTTAACATAAAATTGGTAAAACATTAGATTGCCTTCGACATAATATTGATTAAAGTCGTAATATAAAAAGTACATGTCGCTAAATCATTAGTTTGTGCAGATTTATTTAAAGGCAAGCGATTCAGTTACGATACGACAAATCGATTCGATGTGATAATTATGTAGGTACAAGAGGCTTTTTCGGGCATCCCTATCGTCTTTAAAACCGAGTTATCTCTAATAGAACCACAAAGGAGTTTGAAACGGTACAGAGTGTAGTTCTTTTTTTTTAAAGTGTAGTGGGACCAAGACGAAAAGCGAGGTAGCACTACGGTGCAAGTGAGTGGCAATATAGCGTTTCCTCTATTAACTGTGCACGTTGCAATGGCTCGTACGAACTTGAGTGCATTAAAGTTTTGCGCGTGCTATAAATTTACGGTATGAAGTAAAATGACCCAAGCCCGGTTTAACTAGAAATAGACTTTACCAGCATCTAAAACGCTCTTTTCTCATTACAGATATTATCGAAGCTCGGGGAAGTTAGTTAACACTAGGATTTCCTAAACTCGTGCACCTTCTGTCCTAAGACCTCGTCGTAAAGACCACCGCTCTTTATTTTGTACATTCTCCTCTGACCGTCCGCTTTGTTCGTGATCATCTCGTTGGTGGTAGAAGCCAGGCCGGTGTTGATTATCGCCGATTTCTTAGCGCCCAACGCTTTGGCGCTATTATTAACGGCTCTTTTAACGCCGTCTACTGTAGTCCTATCTTTGACGTTATTAGTAACGGGTTTTTTAACGTCATGTACTTTATTCTTATTTTTGGCACTATTGGTAACGGCTCTTTTAACGTCAACAATTTTATTCTTATCTTTGTCACTATTAGTTATTGTTGATTTAACGTCGTCCACCGTAGTCCTATCTTTGGCGTGCGGTACACCGTTAACCCCGTTTGGGTTTATTTTAGATACGGACGGCGTGGGATCGCTACGCTTTATATGCTCTTTACCGATATTCAAGTTCGTGGTCGAAGTCAATCCGGTGTTCACTATTACCGGTTTTCTATCGACGCGGACTTCGGCCGTCTCGGTAGCCGTCGCGTCTACTTCGGCGCTATCGTTTGTGTCGTCCCTGCTCGTGGCTTTGAGCAGTTTTCTGGTCGACAGCGTTTTCCTCGTGGTCCTCTCGATCCTGAAAATCCTGCGGAACCACGGGACTGGTGGGGTTTTCGAGAGCACCACCGGATCGCCGATGATCTCGTAGATGTGGCCTTCCGCGTCATCGCCGTCCGGTTTGGCGGCGGTCTCGGGTTCGAGGCGGGCGGGGCGCTTGACGCTCAGAAGTCTTAGGACAGAGCTGGTGCTGGAGTTGAGGCTGCGCAGTCTGCTCAAGTGTCCTGGGGCGCGTCTCTTCGGGCGCTCGCCCCTGCCGCCCGCTATTAGGTTGTGTACGTACTTTTTGCGCGGCTTCTTCCACCACACCATCACGTTGTGGCGCGAGTAGTAGACCAGGAACAGCACCAGCAGGATCGTGGGGAGTATACCGAGGAAGATCACGTACATCGCAATCATGAAGTTCCTTTGGACTGCGGAGGAAATTTTTTTTAAACATTCCATCGGAAGACACAGAAATACATCAATTTTAAAACTTCGAATATATTATTTAACGAGTAATTAACATCTTCCACTTTCTTTATCACGCCTTTGTGGGGTCGACAGAGCATGTGAATAATGTTGTTGATGGTATTGGTTACATTTTTACGACGATGGTCGTTCATTCGCAGATAGATAACGGATCTCGTAACAATCTATCCGTCTCATAAATAATTGTCCCGGATGGGAATCGAACCCATGACCCCAGCGCCGAAGCCTAATGATCGATATGAGCTAAAAATTTAATTAATTGCATAAGAGACTTCTGTGACAAAATGATACATTTTGTAAGAAAATGGACATCCCTCACTCAGTTTCGAAATGGACACTTCTATGACAAAAAACCTGTCTTCGCTACAGCACAGAAGACCGGCGTGAAGCGGAAGTGTTACACTTTGGCATTTCGTCTGGCGAGTGAGGTAGCCGTGGCTCCACTTTATTAGAAGGTGGCGAAGCGTCTGTAATGCTACGGGTGTTGCAAATGTCCATGGGCGGCGGTTATCAGTTAACATCGGGTGAACAGCCAGTTAGTACGCCACCTTCTCATTTAAAAAAAATACGAAAGGTCCATTTTCACTTACTGCTCGAGTCTGTTGCGGGTCCAGAATCGTAGGAGCCGCCGGGGCCAGGCAAGGCGCAGAGTGGGGGCGCGAAGCCGACGTCGCAATGGCAGTGACCTTTGGAGTGAAGGTCAAATATGGATATATTTATTTTATTTTCATTTCACGCAAAATCCACGGCTCTTTGTTACATGGTAGGCACATCTTATGATCTAAAATTACATCCAAAAACGGATGTACATTATTTAAGTAGTATTTTAAAGGACGTGTTGAAGATAAATTAGTTGGGACTAAAACTACCCATTTTTATACATCTACAAAATAAGACAAAGAAAATTAAAAGATTTTCAACATAGATAATGCTCGCATGCGCCTCCTTCGCATGCGGGCTTGCGTGTGTGCGTGCGTGCGTGTGTGTGTATATACCTTCTCTAAAACAAAAACAGGGCGAGGGGAAACTCAAAATCAAAGCTGTTACAACCAGCCTTATCCGTGGTGATTGTATCATACTCTGAATTTCCACCTTTTGCCAAGATAGACTAACAATAACTTTGTTTGCTTTGAGTAATTTTAATGTTTTTGTACACTTTGCTCTTTAATCTTTTCTTTTTTTCTTCTTATTCTCAAGTGTTAAACAAATGTAGCACTTAGATATATTCTTCTTGGCAATAAACGATTAATATGTTGAGACGATACACTGGTTCTCAGTTGAACGTTTAATCAACGTGTATATTCACAAATATTAATAACCTTCTTAAACATTATCGTATACTTCGGTGTTGGATGACCCTACACTAGATGGAGTGAAATCTGATTAAACATACAGGAAATCGTTTATAACAGTCTTTGGGCTATGTTCAGCAGTGGACTATGACAGGTTGAAACGGTGATGATTAAGTAAAATGGAGAGTATAAATCTTCTTTATACAAATATAATATGTAACGCAACATAATATATAAATTTTAGGGTTAAAAGCTGTTGGTGCAGTTTTTATGTTTGTTGCTATAGCGAATTCGCCAACCACTAGGCCAATAAAGCTTCTGAGAGGAATAAATCAATTGTCGATCAAACTAGAGGTCAATCTGGCTTTAGGTTGACCCTTGGCAAATCAAATTAATGGCCATAGACTATATATTCGCCAATTGTACCTCCAAATGATACGAAACTATGAAACTAGCGACCTGCCCCGGCTTCGCACGGATTGAATTTCTTGGCTTTTCTTAACTATGATATGCATTTATGCTACATATAACTTTAACCTTACTTGAATCACTCTATCTATTGCTGAAAACCGTTTAAAATCCGTTGCGTAAGTTTAAAAGATCTAAGCGTACAAATCTGGAGCGACTTTTTTAAACGGTTTTATTTTATACTATGTAAACATACAAACATTTGGAGCGACTTTGTTTTATACTGTGTAAACATAATTTACCTTCAGAGTTGCAAACGCCGTGTCCGGAGCAATTAGAGGGGCAGACAGCCGTCTCTTTCTTCGCTATTGCCGTCCTTATCGCTTCAATGTCAACGCACTTTTGGTTCAAGCACATCTGTTTAAACGAACGTAAATTGAAAATGTAAACTGCCAGCTCGTTTGCCACTTTCTCACATAAAAAAGAGATAAAGGATGTAGAACATGTCAAAGTATCAGACATACATACATAGAGTATAAGATAGTAGAGAGAGAGAATAAAATCGAGAAACATTACCCTCTCTTCGGCAATCGAGTAAACTATTTTATCCCCTGTGATACATTAAAAGACATTAAATGCAGTTGATAACAGTTTAATTCTACAACTTGGAATTATAGGTAAATTTGTCGGTATCGTGAAAATCGTACTCTCATAATATTTTCCAAACGCGCCAAAAGAAGTATAACTACAACAAGTTCTTTTTATAACGAAAAACAAAATCATCTTCAAATCTCGTTCTGTATTCATTTTATAATTGATTTTCAGGAGTTCCCTAATTATCTCCGGAGCCCAAGATCCAATACCAATGAAATTAATATAGGACCACATGGGAAGCACCAGCTTTCAAATAAATAAAGAATCATCAAAATCGATTCTCCCAGTCGAAAGTTATGAGGTAACAAACATAAAAAGAAATGCAGTCGAATTGAGACCCTCCTTTTTTAAGTCTGTTCAAAACGCCTTCCTTACCTTGTCGTCGCCGCACTTCGCGCCGTCTGGGACCATTCCCGGATCGACGTCGCTCAGGCCCAGATCTATTATGGCCGTCCGACACGGGATTATGGTACCTGGTTGGTGCGTTTCAATCAATTACTTATTGCACGTATAATAAGAGATTTTTTTTTTTTGGCAGGTGGACACTTTACAGATCCACCGGTATTGGGAGGGCGCTCGAGGCGCCTAGCCTGAGCGTGGTAGGGCAGAGTGTCACAGATGTTAAGTGAAACGTGCCACGCGGCAGCCTCGGCCGTTGCACGAATGGGCAGGTCCGTCCAGGTAAGTACCACGACCCCACAGAAGACCGGCGTAAGGTAGATGTGTTACACTTTTGCGTTTCGTCTGGTGAGTGACGTAGCCTCGACCAACTTTATTTAAAGGTGTTGTAAAAGTCCATGGGCAGCGTTTATCACTAAACATCAGGTGAACAACTGGTTTGCCACTTAATCACAAGAAAAAACCTGGGATGATTTATTTATTTTATTTTTATTTTTTTTGTGTTTTTTTAACATTGCCCTTACTTTAGGATAACATTATCCTGTGTTGTAGGGACGTTTTATATGAACATAAATATATATATTTCACGCGGAATTAACACCCCAGATGCTTGTGGGTCACACAAATAGTTTCCCTTTGGGAATCGAACCCACGACCCCCGACGCCGAAGCCAATACCTAGGCAACTGTGCCACGGAGTCATCAATAAGATAATAAGAGTAGCGCAATTTCAAAATGTTAACATCGTAGTAAAAAAATTGCACGCCGATTGGAGACTTCGCATTAATATATGAACATAATGATATATATATATTTTTTTTTCTGGAATTATACAGTGAAGCCAGTTTTATAATGCAAGTAAAGAATCGCGTGCGTTGTGTCGTTGAAATAAGTTTACGTATTTTGTCTAAGCTTATCAACTTATATGTTACGACTTTACTTACTTAGTCGTGTACCTTTGTTAATGACAATTATAGTTCCTGACTCATCTCGTGCCTAACGGTAAAGGGAAAATATCTTAAGGAACTGCATATTTTCAAAATGATAGTAAAAAAATTTCGAAGACAAGTGTCTGCCAATCCGCAGTGGGGTCGCGTTGTGGACTATGCCCTAGTACAGAGGCCTCTGCACTGCGCACTGCTGCATATAGAATGTTACTCTACTTTTTTTTTCTACCTCTAGATCATGTACGTACGCGACGTATATCATCGGAAGCATCAGAGAGGTGTTATCGCTCACTGTTGTTGATTAGATCCGCGAGAGACGTACTAACATCGGAAGAGTCAGAGAGGTGATGTTGCTCAGTGTTGTTGTTGATAAGATCCGCGAGAGAGGTACTATCATCTGATGAGTCAGAGAGGTGTTGTTGCTCACTGTTGTTGTTGGTTAGATCCGTGAGAGACATTATAATCGTCAACGTCAGAGAGGTGTCGTCGCCCACCGTTGTTGTTGATGAAGAGCGCCGACAGCTGGGCCACGGACTCCATTCCGAACTCGAGCCGCTCGTTGAGGTGCCGGCACTGGAGCAGTCCGCAGCGCGAGTCCGCGGCGGCGCACGGACGGAAGATCTGGCGGACGCGGTCGTAGCCGCAGTTGCCGTTCCTGCGGACGGCGGCCGTTGTTGGGGCAACGCGCACAGCGCCCTCCGGCGGCGGTGCGAGCCGCTCGGTGGCGGTTAGGGGGTCGAATTTGATATACGCTGCGGTAGGGCCGCGCAGCAGCTGCGGCTGTTGCACGAATGGGCAGGGCCGTACGGGTAAGTGCCACGACCACACAGAAGACCGGCTTCAAGTGGAAACGTCCCACTAAGTGAGTGAGGTAGCCGGGGCCCACTTTATTACAAGGCGGCAAAGCGTCTGCAACCGTACGGGCGTTCTCCATGGGCGGCGGTTATCACTCAACATCAGGTGAACCGCCAGCTCGCTAGCCACCTTCTCTAATAACATGAAACGTAGTGTTAATTGAAGACCCAGAGTTCGGCCGTCAGTAGCCGGAGGTCATATGCAACAACAGAATCTCACTTAGTCCCTTTGATGTTGGTGGACGTGTAGCATCTGTTGTCGGAGCTTTCGCCCGTGGAGCCCCAAAGCAGCTTGCACTGGTCCGTGTGGGAGCGACAGGCGCCGCGAACGCAATATGCCTGTATGATGATAATAATAATAAATAAACAAATAATAATAATATATTTTGCTTACAAAAAAATTTAATACACAGTAGTAGTAAATAACATAAGAGATTTGCAGAACAGATTAATGAGACCGAAATATTATTAGTACTTCAAAATTAAATTCATCTTTTTCTTGTTAGAAACAAATAATTACCTCCTTGTTCCCGCACGGAGTGGTGTCCATCCGGTAGACGTCTTCGGGACAGAACTCGGAATGTCCCGTGCAGTATTCTGGAAGGTCGCACTCCCTGTCTGCCGTACGGCAGACCGTCCCTGCCGACTTTGGCCTGCAAGTCTGTAAAAAGTTTTTATATTAAAGAAAGAAAGAAAGAAATGTTTATTTGGTACATAAAAAAACTATTAAATTAAAAAAATTGCAATCGTAATTTAGCAATCAATTCACCAATCAATCCACTTGGAATTAAATCACGAAAAATGTTCACTATAACTACTATATTTCATTAATTTATTTTTAATATTAGGCGATGAGGATGGCATCAGCAGAAAGTTTGATTTGGTATTAGCTCCGCGCCACGAGCGCTTGCAACCACACTTTTTTTATGTAAGTTAGTGGCAAAGGACCTGGCGGTTCACCTGATGTTAAGTGATAACCGCCGCTCGTGGACAATAGCAACACCCGTAGGGTTGCAGATGCGTTGCCACCTTTACACAAAGTGGGCCCCGGCTACCTCGCTCGCCAGACGAAACGCACAAGTGTAACACTCCTACTTTACGCCGGTCTTCTGTGAGGTCATAGTACTCACCCGGACGGACCTGCCCATTCGCGCAACAGCGAATACTGTTGCGTGGCCCATACCACAGTTAATAGTAGCTGCTGCGTTTAATCAATTGCAGCATACTAACGGCCGCTTCCTATATTCAACGTATGGCAATTAGTCACACAGCTTCGTAGCTTTCATAACCACTTGTACGTTAAAGGAACACTAGTAACTCACTTTCCGTAAATAATGCAACGGCTCGTAAGGAAAGAAAGAAAGTTTGGTGGTAGGGCCACGCAGCAGCCTCGGCTGCTGCACGAATGGACAGGCTCTGGTGAGGAAAAAAAGGAAAACGCCTCGTTTTGTCAATATAGGAACCGGGCGTGCACGCCTTTTATCAACAAATCGTTATGAAAGTTACGAAGCTGTGTAACTAACGGCTGTTCGTTGAATATAGGAATCGGGCCGCGAGTGCTCGCAACGTAGCGCAGCGTGCCGACCCGCAGACGTGTACTTTCACTTAGACAACCCTACGTGCGGTGCGCAGCGTACCGACCCGCAGACGTGTACGTTCACTTTCGACAACCCTACGTGCGGCGCGCAGCGTACCGACCCGCAGATCGCAGCAGGAGCCCGCGGCGCAGCTCGCGTTGGCGCGCAGCATGCAGCTGCTCTGGTCGCAGCACGCGAGGCAGGCGGACCTCGCCCTCCGGCCGCCCACGCCGCAGTCGGCGCGCAGCGCACTGCTCGCCCGCCTCCACGAACCCGTTACCGCACGTCGGCGACCCGCACGTCGGCGACCCGAACAGACGCTTCGGCTTGTTCCTGCGCGTTCAGTTTAGCTAGTTGACTTTTTTTTTTAATGTGAAAAGTTGACAAACGAGCAGACGGTTCACCTGATGGTAAGTGAATACCGACGCCTATGGACATCTGCTACACTCGAGGATTACAGATGCGTTGACAAGCTTTTAAAAATTGGGCTCCGGCTACCCCACTTACCAGACGAAACGCGAAAGTATTTTTCATACTTCCACTTTACGCTGGTCTTCTGTAAGGTCGTGGTACTCACCCGGACGGGCCTGCCCATTCGTGCATCAGCCGAGGCTGTTGCGTGGCCCTACCACCGTTAAAACTGTTTTGTTTTATTTATGAGTGATATTTGTAACACCCGTAGGGTTGCAGATGTTTTGGTTAAGCTAACCCGTTGCCGCACGACGGCGGCTCGAATAGACTCTTCGGCTTGTTCCTGCGTTACGGTTGAGCTAGTTGACTGTATTGTTTTATTAATGTGAACAGCGACAATTGCCGCCCATCGACATTTGTAACACTCGTAAGGTTGCAGATGTTTAAAAAATGTAGAAAAAAATATATATAACCTACCAAGTGTGAGTTGGACTCGTGCACGAAGGGTTCCATTATGTACAAAGAGGTACCATTATGTACAAAAACGGCAAAAGAAAAATATTTAAATTTTTCACGTTTCTTTAGTATTCGTTGTTATAGCGGCAACAGTAATACATCATCCGTGAAAATTTCACCTGTCTAACTATTCAGATACAACCTCGTGGCGGACGGATAGACAGACAGACATCGGTCTTAGCAATAGGAATAAAAATATACAGACAGAACATGCGAGCGAATCGTGCGCGTGTACGAGCTTCCACCGACCTGAGGCAGTAGTCCATGCCCCGCTCGAAGGAGAGCGCCAGAGACCTCAGGCTGCACGAGGACCAGTGGACCGGCATCACGGAGGTGCTCGAGGGGCTCATGATGCACTTCTCGTCGGGGCAGTCGCAGTCGCCCTCCGTGTCGTGCTCCATGCCGAAGTTGTGGCCCATCTCGTGCGCGATGGTGGTCGCCACCAGGCCCAGCACCTCCGAGTGGTTGGTCGCCACGCCGCCCGAGAACTCGAACGTGCAGATGGGGCCCTTCAGCGCCTTCCCCACCACACCCTCTTGGAACTTCTGGCGGCTGCAACGCACAACGGTTGGGTACCACCAGGTCTGTGCCAGTATTGAATGTGGCTAAGCGTAATTATCATCATCACCATTAATACACAACGCAACGGTAGGTCAGTATTAAATATGACCCATGATCATCGTATTCATCAATTTTTTTCTATAAATTATAACGGACACTGGTTTTTCCTGTAATCATACCTCTATCAAAAGGTGATATAAAAGACGAGCTCGATAATATTGGCCTAAATAAGAAAAATAATGTTTTATGCGAAAATGAATCTTATACTCACGTCAATAAGTGCGCATTGTCGTTGGGTATTTCCGATAATAGCCTCATGCGCCTGTACACGAGAAAGTTCGTCAGCGTCCTATCGCCGTTCTCCTCTAATTGTATTTCGTCTCTCTCACTCCAAACAACAACGCCTACTAAAGCTATGAAGATGTTTAGTGGAGAGTATACCTGAAATAGAAAAAGTTACGACTTTCAATATTTTATGCCATAGAATATGGAATTATTCACACTCTCTTTTGCAAATCGTTTGCAAGAGATACATTTTATATAAAATATTGAAACTCTCACAATAAAATTATCTAATTGTCTTGCATATTATCGTAATCGTATTACGGATTTTTGATAATTCGTATACATATGTGAAAAATAAGAATAAAATCGTGACATGAAAATTACTGAAATGTTTTCGAAAGAACCTTCGGCAGAAAGTGACTTGTGTCCTAAAGGAATAACTGAAATGAGCAATATAATAATAATCTCTCTCTCTTAATCGTAAGTAAAGAAACAGCCTGTACAACGTGTCGTTCCCATCGCGACAATAAATGAACACACGTCTAACACTACTTGCCAATAATCATAAAAAAATATTAACGTTAAACAAAATCCATAATTAAAAAAATATATTTTTCAAACAAACTAATTAAGTAAAAAATAAACAAAATTTGTAACGTCCTATACAACTCGCGCCACAGCGTCGCAATACAAGCCTCTCCTTCTAACAGTATGTTTTTTCTCTTTTAAATTCATTCAACCCATTCATATGCTTTGTGACCTTTACAAATGAACTTTACGTTACAGTTTTATACGTAAGGGTGTTCTAAAATTGTTTGTTTTGGAAAATTTTATAACTCTGTAATTATTGATGTTTGAAGAATGTAAATGTTTACGAAATATTTTTGTTTCGTAAAAATATGTAGTACCTTCACATTGTTTTTCCCAGTCATTCCCAGCATTTTTTCAAACCGCTTATTCCACCATGCGTTTGGCATATTGGCAGACTGCATTTACGAAATATTTTTATTTCGTAAATATTTCGTAAATGCATTTCCCTCAGAGAGCTTTTCTTGATATTGGTTAAACAATCTACTGTACTGTCGCAGCGCTCACCGAGTTGATGATGTTCGCCACGTCCTTGAGCTGACGGTGCACAGTCTGCAGGCTCTCTCCGTTGGCTTTATACTCCCTGTTGTCCGCAACCAGCACCAGTTCCACGTACCGGGACAGCTTGTTGGCGATGTAGGGTTCTCGGACCTGCTTGTCTTCGTACGCCTCGCGCTTGTACTGAAAGGGGTCGGCAGTACCTTTTGTTATTTTCGAGAAACTGCCTTTCTGCCCTTGGCGTGTTGTACGGGCGGTGTTTAGACGAGGCAATTAAAAGCACCGTTTACCGTTGCGATACCGCACAATTTAACAGCGCCATCTAGTGAAATCGATCCGAAACATAAGATCCATTATAACGTAAACAGGACGGTTTACATACATAAATTGATAACATTTGACGACCCGATCGGCGTGGGGAGTAGTGAAGCTGCCTCTTGCGCTACGGGGTGTGGGTTCGATCCCCAATACTGGAAAAATATTCTGTGATGAACATAGTGTTTTTTCAGAGTCTGGGTGTTTATATAATTATGTATTTATTTACAAAAGAAAAGTATGTTAAAGTATGTACATTGACCGCTGCTTCCGATAATAATTTATTTTCAACACACAACAATGTCTATCTAATCAGCAGTCTATTATAATATAAACTATTTAAACACCATCTCAACCCAAAACCACCCTCACCACTCAACACAAACACAAGTTACCAAAGGCCAGACGTATACCGTTAGCTTTAACACCCTTGGGAATGAAATAAAATTTATTTGTGCACATAATTTATAACTTACCCTACTAGCTCTGCTGCTCTCCGCGTTCCGCCTTTTCTCATGTTTCTCCATTAGCTGAGGGTCGTAGTGGGAGTTGTTCGTTGCGCCGCCGTCGTAGCCGCACCGGTGTGTCCTAGTGAGGTGCGAGTGGTCGTAAACGTAATGCTGGGAGGACACCTCGCCGCCTGCAAACGGAGAATGGTAAACAATCCTACAACTTTACTCTCAAAATAATATGTGTTTAAAAAATCACGTTTGAAGATTCCGTTACATTCATATATACATACAGGTGATACCCGCGGTAATCACTTACCATCATGTTACCGTCTCGGTTGCCACCTTCCTACATTAAAAAAAACATAGGAGCTGGAATAATAAGATTATGTTTCGACGCCGAGTAAATGAGATAGAATATGTCAGATGAAGATTATACTCTACAGTCGAAGTTTATCCAGTCAACCACAGTATCGAGAAATCTTGACCACCACTTAATAAATACTTCAATAGCTGATATCAGGTGAGATCCTATTATAATTTTACTGTTAGTCTGTACACTTTAGTTGAATATACAGGACATTTTAGGATCCTACTTACTACTCTAACAGAGCTTCTGAGGGTAGATACTTTTACGTTTTGCAAAGGTAGTATATACTTAAAAATAATTAATTATCAAAAAGCTACCGGTGGCTCACGTTAACTGTTTCGATACGTCTTCAAACACTTCAGCTCGCCTTCTTTTGTGGACTGTAATTGAAGTTCCAATGGTCTGATTCGAGAAATAAAACATGATATAGAACCTTCAAACTGTCACACTCACAAATGAAACCTTTTTATTGACAAAAACAAAACCGAATTCAAATATCTCACACACTCACACATTTTCTGTTTGTTTTTAAAGAGTTCCTCAATGTACTTTCAAATTCCAATGTCCAATACCAATTAAATGAATATGGGACCACATTGGTAATAATTCTTACTTAATGCAAAAATGATTTTAATAATAAGAAAATAAATGAAGTTCTGAGGTATAAAACAAAAAAAAAGTGTGTCTACTTATATACGCATGTAAGTTATACTTCTTTAGCATAACAAAAGAAAATTAACTAAGAATTTTATCCCCTGTGCCAGTACTCTTTGTTTGTGAAAGACATTAAATGCAATTTATTACGGTTTAAAGTTGGACTTATAGTAAATGTCAAAAACTTGTTATTGTTTTGTCATTGCAATGCCGTGAAGTTGCTTACCTAGTAAATTGATGACTCCGTGATGCTGTCGCCAAGGTATTGGCTTCGGTGTCGGGGGTCGTGGGTTCGATTCCCACACTGGACAACTATTTGTGCGACCCACAGATAGTTGTTTCGCATCTGGGTGTTTGTCCACGTGAAATTCATGTATGTGAAACGTCCTTACAACACAGGATAATGTTATCCTAAAGTAAGGGCAATGTTTTAAAAGAAAGCAAAAGAAAAAAAAAAATTAGCGACCACGTATGTGAAGTTGGTCGCTTTGCAACCAACTACATCATGTCGCTTTTCGGGGGTCGGTGTGCGCGCGCACCTTAAAAATTTTACTCTCATAATCTTTCCGAACGCGCCAAGGGAAGTATAACTTCAAAAACACAATCAAATTCAGAATCTACTCCATTTTTGGAGTCGGTCAAACGAAGAATTCAATTCCTTACCTTCGGCGGGTTCGATATATCGCATCTCATTGCCATCGTAAATAACCCCACGAACGCCGTGGCAAGTTGAAACCGCCACCCAAGAGTTCTCCCTGCCGCGAACCTCCCCGGAATACTGGCACAAGTCCAGCTCCTGGAAGAGTGGAAGAGGAAATAAATCTTTGGTTTCTCGACATCTACTTATCTAGTTTGTTCACTGACGGCCTACACTCAAAGACAACATTTAGCCTTAAACAAGAATTAATTTTATTTGTCAAGCGATTTGTGTTATTACTGTGAGTGTTAAATTTTATGGAGTTACCTGACAATCTCAATAATATATAAACCATGTTATATTTTTTTTTTTTCTCCATTATGCATTAACAACATAAATTTCCCGCGACAGTTATCACATAACATCAGACATAAAAAAAAAGTTATTAAAGTTTTAAGAAATAACAATTTTTGTAAGCACTACGTGATAATTGATGTGTGTTTTGTTGCCTTGGAGAAGTGTACAGGCGATGTAGTTGTAGATATAATAAACAAAAACACAAACATACACGGCGGTGGTGGGTACTGTCATCCTCCCCCTCCCCCTCACAATATTGGCAATCTATTTCCGGTTTCAATATTCTAACTACATACGGTGGTAGGGCCACGCAGCAGCCTCGGCTGTTGCACGAATGGGCAGGCCCGTCCGGGTAAGTACCACGACCTCACAGAAGACCGGCGTAAAGTGGAAGTATGACAAATACTTTCGCGTTTCGTCTGGTGAGTGAGGTAGGTAGCCGGAGCCCAATTTTCAAAAGGTTGTCAACGCATCTGTAACCCTCGAGTGTAGCAGATGTCCATGGGCGGCGGTATTCACTTAACATCAGGTGAACCGTCTGCTCGTTTGACAACTTTTCGCATAAAAAAAAAAAAAAAAAAAAAAAAAAACAGATTTGTGACATTCTAACTACAGAAAGAAGTCGTTCCTTGAGGTTGTTGGCAACACTAAAAGAAGTGTCATTCTATGAGGTATAAATGAAGCTGCACGAAGCATTTCATCGTCGTCTTCTTCGGCTGTTAACAAGAAGTATACGCGATATTGCTACCCAATTGGTATCTCAGCTTAAAGTGTTAGAGTTGTGTTTCTTTAGTGATCTAAAAGTGAAAATAAGGAATTATACCAGTATTAATGTTTTGCAAAGTAAAGTGATTTGGTAAAAGTATTTATATTTCTACCTTCTTAGCTCGATAAAACAAAGTAAAGCTAACATTAGTAACCAAATCTATCTATAGATTGAATGTTGAAACCGGGCGTTAATCGTTAGTAATTGGTCCATGACAACTACAACTTGAACTTAATCTTGACTAGCAACTCGAGCCGATTGCAATGTATTATACATATAAACCTACGTCTTAAATCACTCTATCTAGTAAAAAAACCGCTACAGATCCGTAGCGTAGTTTTAAAGATCTAAGCATACATAGGGACAGCAGACAGACAGCGGGACGACTTTGTTTTATAGTATGTAGTGATGACTCCGCGGCGCAGTTCCTTCGGCTTCGACGGCTTCGATTGCCACACGAGACAACTGGTACTGGTGTTATTCACACGAGAACTTTGTGTATGTGAAACGTCCTTATAACATGGCAGGTGGAATGGTAAGGGGGCAGTGTTTAAAAAATATTCCAATAAGTACAATTGAAGATTGCCGAATGCAACAAATACTTATGTTTCACAGTAGAAAATGTTCATCGCTTACCTCCTTACTCGGTCTATGCAGTACAGTCTCCCCGTTCTTCTGATAGCTGAGGACGTGGTTGTCAGTTACGAGGTCTTCGTTCAGCCTCAAGTCCAGGACGTACTCTTCGCCGTCTATGTTCACCGTCACCGTCACCGCTGAATGATGTGCTCCCGCCTGAAAGCGTCAAAAGAGTCTAATGAATACATAAACAAGAACAAGACAAAGAAGGACGACCCGAATGGCATAGTGGGTAGTGTACCTGCCTACTGCGCCAGAGGGTGTGGGTTCGATCCCCACTACTGGAAAATTATTGTGCGATGAACATAGTATTTTTCGAGTGTTTACAAAATAAAAGTATGTTTAAGTATTTTTATCAGTTATCTAATACCCATAGAACAAGCGTTGCTTAGTTTGGGACTAGAGAACGTTGTGTAAAAATGTGTCGTAAATATTTATTTTGTTAAATATTATTTACATAATTAGACCTGGCGTGAAGTGGAAGTAAGTCTACTGTGGTAGGACCACGCAGCAGCCTCAGCTGTTACACGAATGGGCAGGCTTGAAATGGAATGGGCAATGGAATGACTTATACAATTTGTTCTTATTGATTTCTAGAAATCTTATTTGCTTCCTTTACAGCAATGATATATTAAAACTAGCCTTTGCTTTTCAAATTTTATTTTTATTTTATTTATTCCTACTCTCTGCACTCGTCTCTACAACCCGACCTAGTTTGTAGAGGTCAATTATTTACATTGGACATATCCTCGGACGTTCTAGACGAGGCATTACGCTGTCGGATATGGATATCCGTCGACGGATATCGCGCTTTGCGAACGAAGGACCATAGAGGATTACTAATAACCTTGGATGAGTACATTATCTGGTCAACGCGAACTGTACGTCATTGGGCTAATCGGGCAATACTTGATTACAAAAAGAACTGTTTGTGTTTTAATCACATGATGTTGTTTACAGTTGTCTATGGACATCAACAAGGACTCCAAACGAGTACGTTGATACAAAATATAGAAGGGGATCCCCCTGAGGTACCCAGTGCCCGAACTATTAATACTTCGTCTTTTCGCCGGTCTTTTCTGAGACCACGATACTCTTTCCAGACTAGTCCAGCTGCTCTTGCGACAACACTAACAATAAACAATAAATGTCTCAACATCATTCAATAAATAAGCAATAAACTATCACTATTAACAATAATAATAAAATCTCTTCTAAAACGTTCGAAAAAGCTGCCGCTAATTTTATAATGTTTCCATAATTTTATTTAAGTGAAAAGTTGGCAAGCGAGCTGGCGGTTTACCTGATGTTAAGTGATAACCACATTCCATCTTCTCATATATAAAAAATTAGAAGATCTTTCAAAGATATCCCAGGAGAAGGAATATCTTTGCGAGTATCTTCTAGTAGTACCCGAAATTGTTAATTTCTCGCCTTTTTACGTCAGCGATTAAAATTAGCACTCGATTCCGAATACAAGTTCCCGTCAGAAAATATTTTATAACATTCGCAATGTCGTCATCAATTAATGCAAAATTCAAAGGTCAAAATTGCGAATCAGCGAAGCGAGCGCTGCTCTAATTGGCAAAAGTGCACGCGCAAAACATTTGCTAATAATTATGAACTCTAACAGGTTGCGAACTTGAAAACTCACGTTGAAGGTTAGTTAAGGTATTTTCAAATATATTATGCAAATTCTTCAAAATATTTTTTTTTATTTTGAGCCGTGATAGCTCAGTGTCCTTGCGCTCGGGCCTTCAATTTCATTTACTCGAGTAACCAGAGTACGATCCCCGTTGCCAGCACCAATGAAATTGTTAATTTTAAGTGCTGAATTATCACGTGCTCCGCGGTGAAGGAAAATATCGTGAGGAAACCTGAATATTTTCGAAATAATAATAAAAATATTTCGAAAATATGTGAGGTCCGCCAGTCCGCAGTGGGGTCGCGTTTTGGACTATGCCCGTATACCCTCTTTACAGAGGTGGCCTTTGCCCAGCAGTGGGACTTTTATAGGCTGTTACTTTACTTTTTTTTACCAAATAATTAGAGAAAAATGATGACAAATTTTGACCCGGTGGCTCAGTTGCGAAACTATTGGTTGGGTCATTTGTTCGATATCCACACGAGACAAGTATTTGTGTGTAACTATAGTAACAGTCTATAGAAGTCCCACTGTTGGGCGAGGCATCTGCACAGAGGCGACCCCACTCCGGATTGGCGGACTTAACATATATTCGAAATGTTTTTTTTTTTGTTATTATTTCAAAAATACGCAGGTTGCCACATCCAATTGGCACCGGGCTTTGAACTCAGGTCGCTCAACCACAGTGCACTAAAATCGAACGCCCGGACACTGAGCTATCAAGGCTTGGTATATGTGTGATCTAAAGATAATTGTTGTAATGGTGATTGGTTCATTCCAAAAGTCGATCTGCAATATTGGTTACCGAGTACTGTTTGTTAATTTTCACCCATGGACACTCAAAAGCGGAGCAGATACGATTGCGTTGCCGGTGTTATAAAGGATGGAAAAAGTTTTATAAACGATGTGCATAAAAACGAAAGAATTCGGTAAACATTTCATTTACTCCATTTTTATTTATTAGCATTCATTAATTGAGGATGAAGAAATGCATACGATCTTTACAGCATATATACGTTGAGAAATTAGCGATTTAATGTCTATTTGATCTCTAAATGACACCTAACTGTTATTTTTGTGATGACTACGAAAAAACATAAGCTATGTCCGTAGATTTAACCTACATATACGCTGGCCAGAAAAATATTACCTGTTGCTGTGACATCACGTTCGCTTTCTTCATTGCCATCCTAACTGATTGATAGAAGACATTAATTCCACCAATTTTCGGCAAGATGCACAGTTTTCTAATTTTGCTAGTCAAGCTATACCGAAAGAGGCCTTTGCTGATCAATCGACATGCATAGGATGCGTAGGCTGTTACTCGATACCGTATTTCTGTCATGGGAAAATTTATTCAAATGGAAAGCGTATTAAAGGGCACATGACCCGGTTTGCATGGCCCAGTAGTTTGATAGGTTTATTGGTCCGACCGCACATAATCGTAAAATATGACTTCAGACGGCGGTACCAGCGACCGAGTTTTGATAATATTTTATACGGCTCCTATGTTAGGAATTTCAGCGTTTCAGGAATAATTTTTATATTCAAGAAAAAGTGCACCTAGAGCTGGTAACGTTGCTTCGTTATCAGCTCGCTAATAATTATCATCTTACCGTAAAAGTATCACTTAACTCAAATCCTTTTAGAAATAAGATAAAACATTATTTAATATACATTATATAGAACTAGCTGCTGCCCGCGACTACGTCTGCATAGAATAATCTGAAGGTGTAAACATTAAGACAGGAAGATTGATGATTTCTTATTCTGATGTATAAGGTGTATTATTGTAGAGTTTCATTAAAATCCATTCAGTAGTATTTGCGTGAAAGAGTAACAAACATCCATCTATACATACAAACTTTCGCCTTTATAATATTAGTAAGGAAATGTAATTATTTTGTAACTATTTATAATATTTCTATATTTGTTTACATAATGTATTCACAATTGAATACAAAATATTAATTTAATTCGATTAAATCTAAATTAATACTTCAAAATACAAGGCCTTGATTCTTATTGTTCCAATAACTTAGTTCCAACTAATTGTAAATGTCGCTTACGCCCGATTTTGGTTCTGTCGAATTCGAGGCTAGGAACAACAAACATCTGATATCATTAATCAAGTATACTGTACTTGGATACAAAGTCAATTTAGTTAAGTAGAATTAGAAAAGATAGGGACTAATATCGAGAGGTTTCGATCAAATTGAATTTTTATAAGTCAGGTGTTTGATTTTATTACACAACACATTAAAATACTCTTGCACTTTACTATACTTTCAAGTTCAATTTATTGCGACAGAGGTGAGCAGCTCCAACTTTTTAATAGAGCGCATCGAATCTCACAGATGATTGACATTAGATTACTCCGTGGCGCAGTTGCCAAAACGGCTTCGGCGACGAGGGTTGTGGGTTCGATTCCAACACGGGCCAACTGTTTGTGTAACCCACAGATAGTTGTTTCGCATCTGGACGTTTGTCCGCGTGAAATTTATGTTTGTAAAACGTCCTTACAACACAGGATAATGTTATTCTAAAATAAGGGCAATGATTTAAAAAAAAAGGACTGAGCTTGTCGCCATGCCCATCGTTAAGCTCATAATCTGTCATCTGCCAGTAAACTCGAGCCACGAGCACTGACATAAGAAGCCGGTAGCTTCACATCATGAGATAATAATAGTCACTTCATGGCTGTGTTACTGACTCACCTTGTCTCTCGTGGTGGAGATTGCCCTTTTCGTTCTGGCATGTTGCACCACTGGTCGCACCAGTCTATGTCTGCTGAATTCTGCGGCAGGGCTCCCTGGAACAAAGAGTTGATGATGTCAGAACAATAGAAGCGTCTTTTGCACTTCTCGTGGTAACCAGATCGACCCTCCAACGATGGATGTCCACGGGCAGCGGTGACCGCTTAACATCAGGTTTCAGGATGTCAAATAATATGATACTTATAAAAATATCACAATATTTGACATACTTAATGCGAACAAAGGAAGATTTAACTAAAGCTGTAATTTCATTACTTAAGGCATCTTATAAATAGGGTAAACTTGAACAAAAAACGCATAGCGTTGTCCTAATCTTTATCCGTCCCAAAACAGTCGCTTACACATCTTGCGTCTTCCACTAATTCCTTTAGAATTGCAAATTCCTTTAGAACGTATCGCAAGTTCAAAAATTTGTTTACCAAGATTCCCACAACTACTATACTAGGAACTAGGACTAGACTAATTACGGTGCACATGTAAAATATGTAAACGTTTAACAGGATATTACTCACTGCTAGCGAGTGATTCATGGAAACAGAAAAATGCATTCGGCCATAAACTCATCCGCGACGAATCAGCATCGCTTTTGGCAAAGACAAAGGACCAATTTCTTCTGCTTATCTATCATTATATATTTGTTTTCTGAACATCATTAAGAAAACGAATGAGGTTTGCATTTAACAGAATTTTATTTTTTTCGTCGTGCTACATAAAAATGGAGAAGAGTAAAAGGCCTGTCAGCGAAGACTGTTGCTTGGCCCTTCCACAGACTAATTTATTTATTTATTATTCTTCATGGCAATTACTTTAAAGAATGATTACAAAGTGCGAACTTAAAAGACATTCTCTTTCAGTCAAACCGGAGCGTGGTAAGTGCAATTATTATATTAAATATTTATATAGAATATTGACAATATACAATATATAAATGCATATAAATATATAATAAGTTATTAAACGCATACTTACTTACTTACTTACTTGGCTGGCTCAGCGACCAAACGCATACAACACATAATAAACAAATCTAATCTAAATCTAATAGTGAAATGTCGAATTCGCACGTGACAATGAGAAAAATGTATCGCCGAGTTCGGCGCGTTCAGTCAGGCGCCTAAGTTATTGCGAGCGTAACGATTATATCAATATGAAAAACATTCAGGCCAGCCCCTCAATTGTTCAACGGACAATTGGCGGCGCGTGCCGAGCCCGTCGCAGCCGAATTTCGCACTAGTGATGTGCCTGGCGCCAGATAAATCGATATCAAGTTAAGTGAATTGAAAGTAGAGATGGAAATAATATTGGCACTATATAGATAAAATTCCTCTCATTATGGCAATTAATGAAGGTGGCTTTTGTTTGGTAGTTTTTATCACAGTTTTTTTTTATTAAGTATGTCCCTCATTCGCGAATAACTTAATTATCGTGTGTTTAAAACACAACGTTTTGCCGGGACAAATTCATGGAAAAACTCTCATATCCCTATTTATTAATATCATTAAATTATTCCGTTTCGGAATTGAGCCTCTGACTCGCGGCGCTGAAGCCAAAAGCAAGGTAACTGAGCGAGCCGAGCCAACATGGATATATTTTGAAGACCTTATCCATTCTACTGTCACTGCAGACATTAAACGATATCAGAAACATCGATTTCTTCCTTTAGTCCAATTAAGGGGGTTCTTTACTCTTACCCTAGGCCTTAAAGTCCTACCGTAACTCTATAAAGTTATAAAAAGAGCGTGATCGCAGAAACTGACCAAACATGGAAGCGGCCCTGTCCAATGATAGGTCTAGTACGGACCGTAAATTCCCTAGAGACCGGTTACAGCGGGGCGTTGGACCGCACGTCACTAATTGGGACTAAACGCCAATAGTTCTATTAAAAGCGCACAACGGGTTTCCTCATCAGCGAGCCAACGATGGACGCGAAATGTTCCATACGGGGACAGCGCGGCTTATATGGCGCTACATTATTATCACTATATCCTTACTTAATATTATAAAGGCGAAAGTTTGTATGTATGGATGGATGTTTGTTACTCTTTCACGCAAATACTACTGAATGGATTTTAATGAAACTTTACAGTAATATAGCTTATACATCAGAATAACACATAGGCTATAATTTATTACATATTTTTATGTATATCTGTCTTTCTGTCTGAATGTTACGCCTTCAGCCTATCCTACGCAGACGTAGTCGCGGGCAGCAGCTAGTATTTTAATATTTCTTAGAAGCTTGCCTGAACGCAATGGCTTCCATAATCTATCAATAAAATCGCTTGAAAGCTTATGCTTGCCACTGTTGGAAAAATTAGAAAATATCATAAAGCGAAAAAGATTTTCGTTCAAAATTCCCTTTTAAATAATGTTTGGCAACGCCACCTATTGACAATTTGTTTAAATTTAATTATCGGGTCAGAAGAAAAATCTAGAAAAATTAACCTATGTTTGAGCATCGTCTATAGGCATTACAATTTTTAATGGAAAAAAGGGGTTATCTGTATACAGAATAATTATGCTCATTGAGTTCTTAATATTTACGCAAATCCTAATTATTATTTTTGTCATTTCATTTTAATTTTTATGCGATAAGGACAAGTAAGTTCATGAGACGTTAATTAATTAACAGTATTCATAAAGTAGGTGTGCTTAACTGTATTTGATATTAATTAAATTAGTCTAGACCAGAAACCATTACGGTTAGTCCATATGGATTCCATATGGTTAGTAGATTTGAAAAGTTGCCAAACGAGCAGACCTGATGTTAAGTGAATACCGCCGCCCATGGACATATTCTACACCCAAGGGTTCCAGATGCGTTGACAACCTTTTGAAAATTGGGCTCCGGCCACCTCATTGACCAGACGAAACGTGAAATTATTATACTTCCACTTTACGCCGGTCTTCTGTGAGGTCGTGGTACTTACCCGGACGAGCCTGCCCATTCGTGCAACAAAGGCTGATGCGTGGCCCAACGTAGAAGTTATTGTGAAGTGTGTTCTTGTGATATTAAGACTAAAGTTCGACTATACTTTCGTCAACTGCTTCGTTCACTAAACGTACGTAATAAATTAAGTAGTGCAGTGTTGCTAATAAGATTGTGTTCAGACATGAAAGGGAAAGTGTCACGTTCACCAGAGAAATGTGCAGCAGCGCGAATTGATGTAGCTTTCTTCAGATTCGGCGTTTCACCGAAATATGCGAGCAATAAACCTACATCAAGGGAACCTATATTAATAATTACCTGAGTTCAAGCAAATCACAATTGATTGATTGATTTGGTGATTGATTAACCTGGTGCTACCATACTGGTAGCACCAGGTTTATTAGATTAATATTAATACTTATTTCATTGCATTTAATTGTAACATTTAAAAATACCGATCGAATTGATAATCTCCTTCTTTTGAAGTCGGTTAATGAATCAACAAATTTCAATGTCGTAACTCTGATATAAAATTGTCTATTGTTTCGAGTTAAATAAAGGCGAACACTTCAAATTTTAAAACAAAACCATTTTTATATGATTGAATGAAAGAAAATATTGAACTTTATTTTAATTAACCGAGCTAGACTAGGTATTTTTAGATCCGACTATTTTTCTATTTCAGCACATTAAATGAACTACATTTTGACACGTTCAATTTCTTTTTCGGTTTTCCGTCTGTCAGTTTCGATCACGTGGTTGAATATCGTGCGTGTAGAAAGTCTTTCAAGATAGGCTCTCAATTATTTAGTACAATCCCTACCTACTAACTATATTATAAAATTACGAACGTTACAAGTTAGACACAAAATTACGAACATTACAAGTAAGTAATACAAATAAACATGTTTAATGCTACTTATGTGGAAAAATACTAATCTATTATATTCTATTAGCCTTATATTATTGGTAAAATAACTGAACCGTTATCTAATTCATTCTACATTAGGTGATAAGTTAAAGTAAAAAAAATACTTTTGTCTTGTTGAAATATGATGAAGGTTATACACTTTACATTGTAAAAGATGTATATAAACCAAGCTTAGATGATTTAGTACTTACGTATGCCTAGATAAAGACCATTGACCTGGATGTCGTCGCTCAGTTATTGCGACGAATATAAAAATTACTGAATTGCTACCGCGTTCAATTGTAGAGCAAAACATCAGTGAGTACTATTAAAATTTAGTCAGTGTTAATTTAGGTTATATGTGCGTGTTTTTCATTAATTTCATATTAGTTTCTCGCTATATACACAATTATTTAAAGAACCGCTTTCGATGTCTACTCCGCCTTGCTTGTTTGTTGAATGGTACGAGTAGAGAACACGAAAGACGAAGGCCTTTATGCGTAATTTTTAGTGTATAAGAAAGCAGAGCATTTCAAAAACCGTTTACCCAATATTTTCCCCCAAACTTGACCATAACCAATAGTAAAAGTGACATTGAATTGTCATAAATAATTGTACACATGTAAACAACTAAAGGCTGTAGATTTTGTTGCTCAATAAAATAAAAAAAAAAATATTTTTATCTTAAGAAATAAAGAATATTATGGTAACAGAATATAATAATAACACCATTTAAATTTAGTCATTATAGTATTTCATCATATTTTCGTGAAATGCTACAAAGAGTCAGTCAGTTATATCTAAAAACAAAGCAGTTGAGTTTGTTATTAGTACTGTTAAGTTAAATACCGACCATTTTAATGTACGATTCTTTTTAAGTCGGTTTTTTTTTTAATTACATTATGCGATATTACGTATATGCGAGTGAAGACAGAAAAAAAGTCCTACCAACACTGTTATACTTTTTCCTTTGCAGATATACCAGTAATATCAACACTTATATAATTGTGCTCGTGTCATACATACAGTTTTTTGTATGCGTGTCAGTCTTAAAAGGACTAAAGTTTAAGACAGTGAACCCGCACGTTGCTGCCCTAAAGTGCAAAGATGCCACGTGTATCCCATTCTACCCAAAGTGTGATACAACCACACGCGGCGATTTCGCCCGTTTCAATTTCGGTGTGGCCCAGTTTGTATATAAATAGCGACAGGATTAGCGATGCATTAGCTGCGTTGTAAGAGGACATTTGTTTATTTCTTTGTTGTATTGTATATATATATATATATATATATATACACACGTCTTTTAACTTACATTTGCTTTAAAGAAAGCTTTGGTTAATGAATAATTATATTATTATGTTTATACATTTGGCTCTTTCGCACCACCTTATTTTGTATATTTATATGTCGGTTGACTGGTAGAGAACACCTTACGGTGTTAAGTCCGCCATTGTATGGTATAAATAGTTATGAACCCTACTAGATAAAGATTAGAGGGTCGTT